CACAATGCTTTGCGCACGGACCAATTTCCCCAAATCTGTGGCGGAAGATGTAAGGCGGGGCCTCTCAAATGACGCACACCTGCACACTTGCTAGCGTGTTCCACTCTTTGTTTTCCGAATGGCAGGAAGTATTCTTGACTCGCTTCTGAAGCAAGATGCTCGGCAGACATGTGCTACCAAGCAAGCGTACTCGCGATTGAGAAACACCCTCTGTCTGTTACTTTAGATGAAAATAAGGAGCCCCTCCCCACGCCCCTCTGAGAGATATTTGGTTAAAAAGAACACAATGGTGCTCTAGGAGGAGATTCAGGTGATAAGGGGGGGGGGGGGTTACCTTGGTTGGTGATCTGATCAGCTCATTTTCAGACAGGTTTTTATATAAATGGATCAGGACAAAAAGAGAGAGAATCTTTTTTTCCTGAAACTTTCAGAGTCTCTTTACACAGAGGGGACACATGTTGATGTAGAAGAGACATGAAGAAGAGGGGACACATGTTGATGTAGAAGAGACGTGAAGAAGAGGGGACACATGTTGATGTAGAAGAGACATGAAGAAGAGGGGACACATGTTTGATGTAGAAGAGACGTGAAGAAGAGGGGACACATGTTTGATGTAGAAGAGACATGAAGAAGAGGGGAGACATGTTGATGTAGAAGAGACATGAAGAAGAGGGGACACATGTTGATGTAGAAGAGACAGGAAGAAGAGGGGACACATGTTGATGTAGAAGAGACATGAAGAAGAGGGGACACATGTTGATGTAGAAGAGACATGAAGAAGAGGGGACACATGTTGATGTAGAAGAGACATGAAGAAGTGGATTTTGCATAATAGGTGACCTTTAAAAGCATGGAGACATGTCACAGTAGAGACAACCTACATACAAATCTGAAACCTGAAATGAGCATTACTGTATAAGGCCCCTGTTAGAATACAAGCAAACTAAATCACATTTGCATGGCTGGGGCAATACCAACGCTAAGCTAAAAAGTCAGACTTCTGTCGGTGCGTTGTTTAGTTTAGATTAGTTAACTTAATCTTTAACAAAGATTAAATCTGTTAAGTGTCTCTAGCTATAGCTCTTTGATAAATGTAGTGGAATGGAAAATCCAAACATTTCCCTCTGATTTGTAATGCTGTATAGAGTAGGAGAAATATGCAAGTTTCTCTGATCTTTAAGTAAATTAAATGTATTGGTGAATATACTTGAGGCAAGATTATATTGCTTAGTGTAAAAGTCTAATTTACACTTTATATCTTATCTATATAGGCCACTATTACTCTTTGTATACCTGCATCCAAAATGATGACGATGAAAGATGCCACCTTTATGAACTGGCCCAAGTCCACCTTGAAACAGGCTGTGTCTTGTTTTGAACCTTATCACCTGTGGACTGGATCACCTGGCCTGGTGTTAAAGACTTATTTGGGGCGGGGATTGTAACCAATACTACGAATCTTGAAACTACTAACACCTTTGATGTTATATAACCCATGATGCAATGCAATCCCAGTGTGTGCCAGCTGCATATAAATAAGCCCAACACCTCGACTTAGTCTGCAGGCTGGGCCAGGTGCAAGAGTCTTTTAGAAATACAACGAGCAAGCAATGGGAGAGAAATGGAAATGGAGGACACAGACGGCACTCTGATGGAGAAGGGGAAGAAGCCAACAGCGCCCAAACCTCCAAACAAATATGAGACTCTGTTCCAGCCTTGCCTCGACCGAGATCATCGGGACCATGTTCTTTGTTTTTGTGGGCTGTGTGTCCGTCATTGAGAACGTTCCGGCGGCTGGACGCCTGCAGCCGGCCCTCGTGCACGGACTGGCTGTGGCTGTGATGGTGGCGGTCATGGATAACATCAGGTAAAGGTGTCAAGACTAGTAATAACCCAGAGATGGCAAAAAGTACACACTCCTTTACTCAAGTAGAAGTACAGATACTCTGTCGTGTTTAAAAGACTCTGGTAAAAGTAGAAGTACTGACTACATTTCTGTACTCAAGTAAAAGTAAAGAAGTAAGGGCTCTAAAATGTACTTAAGTAAAAACTACCCATAACTTTGTGTCCTTGGTCAAAACACTTCACCCTAAGTTGCTGTATTCACTGTTTCATGTCTGACATGTGTATTATGTAATCAGAATCAGAATACCTTTATTAGTCCCACCGAGGGGAAAGCGCTTTGAGATGGCCAATAAGTCAGATGCTTTTGGACCAGTCATATATTTTGAGGGAAATGAACATTGCTGTGCTGCTTCTCCTTCTCTAGTGGCTCCCATTTCAACCCTCCCTTCACCATTGCCATCTACCTGTGTGGAGGCATGGAGCTGATGATGGTGGGGCCGTACCTGGCCAGCCAGCTGATTGGAGGAGTGCTGGGAGCGGGAATGGGCCAAGGTCAGTTGAAAGTTAATCAACTTCATAAAGGTGAAATACTCTGAAACAACTCTGTCTTCTACCTAATTATGTTCCCTTACATCCGAAATGCTTCGAGGAAAGTGCTTTCTTTTATTTAAGCAAGGATGACTTATAGATTGAAACAAAACACAACAAAAACTACTTGATCATTTGAGTTGAACCTCATGGTCGCTTTAAAATAAGCATGATTGTCCCATAAGAGAAAAAAGCTACATACGTGTGCTTTTTAAAAATGTTCATTGAAATGACACAGGTTATGCAAAACAAACCCTTTCCCTTAAGTTCTTCTACTTTGGTCATCTTAAATCTTCCATATTTCTTTTGCTGGAAGGTATTACGCTTATTAATATCAACTTATTTGACAATTGCAATTTTTGATGTGGGTGTTAAAATGTTCTAAGATATTGGGCTCTTAAAAATGTCATGAAAGTTGGACTGTGACACAGATATGCAGACAAGACTTACCTTATATTTATACTTTGGGCATTTAAATCTTCCATATATTCTGCTGAGAGCTTTTTAGCTGGTTAATATTAAAGATGTTACTCCTTATCTGTTTTGATTACACAGCATATGTGTTTTCCCTAAAAGCTTAAGGGGAAATGTAACACGAGAATGCACTTTTAAAAGACCAGGCTGTCTGAAAAGGATGCATGTTTGAGCACACTGAAAAGCCAACTAAAGAAAATCGTGAATCTTCTCTCCCAGATGATGGTCCCACTACAGACCGTTACCTCAACGCCACAGGAGCAGCGTTTGATATCCTGAAGTCGGAGAGCCAGCTGTCCGGAGCCATCTTTGGGGAGGTGGGCCATGACCTGCCTGATCACAATGGTGGTGCTGCTGGTGGCTGTCAACCAGAAGACCAAAACCCCGCTGGCCCCCTTCCTGGTGGGCTGCACCGTCATCATCAACGTGCTGGCAGGGTGAGATAAGAGCAAAACATGTGTTAGCAGTTCAGACACCCTGTTAATTATTCATGCGTGACAGTTATCAGCTCCTTGTCGGTTGCCACTTTCTAGGTTTATGATCCAACTTTGCAGCGTGCAGGGAGGAGCCCACTGATAATAATTGGCATTTAATTCAAACTGATAAAGAGTTTCAAAATAAGAGCCTCCCCAAAATGAAAATACTTTAATTATTAAAAGTGGCAGACATTGACATTTATACGTTTTTTTAAGCACTCAAGTTGCAAAAGTAACCTGTCTCCATAATTAAATCAGTATTGTTTTTACAAATTTCCCTCACGAGTTATTTCAAAATAAGGGTAATTCAAAATTTGAATTATTATTTCAACATAATTACTAAAATAATGACCATTTCTCAATCAATTGAAAATATTTTAATTACACTGGCAGAATCGGAATTAAATACAAGTCAATGCAGCTAAATTAATTTAGCTTCCACTGTTGTTATCCACTTTTTTGAATGTAATATTTCTCGACGTACAACGCCTTAACATCTCCAATGGTTTGAAAGTATGACATTCCATCTCTGGCTGTATTACTAATATGACCAATACATTTTTTAAATACACCACATATCATAAATTAAACAATGGTGATTAAACGTTATATCAGTTCTGCTGCTACAGTCATAAGAAATGTTTTAGCGTCTTGAACAAATTAAGCAACTGGCATTAATAACACATACTTGTTTCTGTCCTGTGGGTTGCAGGGGCGCGATGCTTTTCGGGGACGTAGCTTCTGTCCTGAACCCGGCCCGAGCGTTCGGTCCGGCCTTGTGTGATGACAAACTACTGGGTTTACCACTGGGTTTACTGGGTGGGACCCATCGGAGGAGGCCTGGTGGCCGCCGCTCTGCTCAGGTGAGAGAGGCTTGATGCAATAACATAATTACATTAATAAATAATACTTCATAAGTTAGTCTCTTATGTTTTAAAGTGTGTTTAGTTGCTGGATTAGTGTTCAAGGAGTTGCACTTTTATGTTAAAGCACTGGTGATGTAACTGTAAAAAAAAAAAGCATTATTATTTGTATTCATCTAATAATTATGATAATTAGATATTAATATTATTAGTATTTATGTTTGTATTTATTTAATAATAAAACAAGTAATCAAACTATAATTATTATTACATGTTATTATTTACTATTTATTTATTGTATAATAATAATAATCATTATTATTATTATCATTATTTGTTATTAGTATTTTATTAACATGATTTATTATTATTATAATAATATTATATATTTTCTTTAGTTATTCGTGCATTTGACTATTTATTTTATTATATTTGTATTGTTATTATAACGTGTATTATTCATATTATAACTCATGGTGCCTCTCTTCTGTTTCAGGCTCATTCTGGGTGACAGTAAGTTACGAGTGGTATGAAAACATAACAGCATCTATTGTGTGTGTATTGCAGCAGGTGATGATAACCCTGTAAACCCTGTCCCTTCCTTCTGTGTCAAACTGTATGAGTTGAAAACCATGTGGATTTTATGAAATAAAGAACAAAACATGTAGATGCTCTCTTCATTTATTCTCTTGCAAGAAATAAAGTATTGTATGAATTAAAAGACACATTTCAGAAGACATGAAAGACACAAAGCCAGTTTTTAGCGGCATGCAGTTTATTCTCTAATTCTTCACAATGAGTGAAAGGATGGCTTGCATGTGGCATTTCCCTCCGCGTGCAGTTTAGCGGTATCTCTCAGCGAGAGCCAGGGCCACTCCAGAGAGGAATTTGTCCAGGGAGACGTGGGCCTCGGGGGTGAATTCCTTCGGGAACATGGTGCTGATCACCACCAGGATGCAGTGGTTCAGGATCTGCAGGGAAACAATTTAAAAGCAAATTAAAAAAAAAATCATAAAACCACATTTAATTTCACTGTAACAGAAGAGTTGTTATTTTTACTTCATTCCCATGTCGCTGAAAATCATGCTGAATGCAACAGCAGCACACATTCGTAATTAACACGTAAGCTCTACATGTGCGTAAAAGCGCGCACAAGCAATCCAAACCTCACAGTGATGTTAAAAGGATCACCTCGGCACAGATGTTATATCATGATGTCATTGTTTTCACGATGTTAATGTCTCACCTTGAAGTTGGCCGGGTCCACTCGCAGCTTGTAGGCGTGCTGCTCGCTGAGCTCCATCAGACCAGTTTTCAGGTCGTCGATCTTGGACACAGCCAGTGCGATTCCACCCATCACCTTCTTGCCATGGGCCTTAATGTGAGGAGAGCCGGGGGTCACGTCTGGCCAGTGGGAGAAGTAGGTCTTGGTCTGCGGATAGACGACGATCATCCTGTGGGGGTGGAGAGGGCGTTAGGTGGTGGAGCGCTTAACACTGAGCGTAAAGCAAACCAATGACAAATAACTTCACGAACTCTATATGATGTTTTTACTTTAAATGTATTTTTCTGTATATATATATAGCACTAATGTAATAGTATTAATATTTAATAGATCATTCTTAAATTTAGAGTGTTTTTGCTGCCATGAATCCAATGTAATTTAACGGTTTAAACGTCCTTAAATGTAATGCCATTACTGTCACTGCGTGTCTTTAAATGTAAATAAAGACCCCACATTTACACTAGTAAATGATTCAACAACGAATAAAAAAATAGTTTTTAATAGTATTTGATAGAATCACACATATAATTAATGTATAGTAAAATATATAAAATAAAACAAATTCCGATATAAACCGGACGCACTCACCTGCTCAGAGCATCGTTTCCAATGGCATCAGCTGACTTGCCGATCTTGCTCCACAGAGCCCTGACTGCAGCCTTGTCTTTGTCGGAGAGATGAGCTTGCATCTTGCTTTATCTTGCTGACCTCTGAGGGTTTGGAGTTCCTTTTTAAATGCAATTTCGATCAGGTCACACCCACACTGAGCCCACCCGCCTGACTCATATCGGAGCCTTCTCCCGGACAGATAGACCCGCAGGTGGCCTGATGCCAGCCGGACAGCGGTATCAGCTGGTCAGTCTGGGCATCAGTTGGCACCAATATGTCACCATTTACTTGGGCATGAAATGGCAAAAGAGTCTCGTGAATAGAGTTTCTCTCTGAGGGGCATCTCAGGTCACAGCAGAGGAGCAGCGAAGGGTGACTTTACTCCCCAGTGAGAGACTTCTCCCACTTTACACCAGTGTGGCGTTTCAAGCCAACATGCAAGTTAAGTGCAACATATGAGTGACATTTCAAAACAAAGATATCTGTTTCTTACATCATATTAAACAGACATGAAGATTTTTCAGTAAAGACAGTTTCTTCTTTGCACATGCTTAATTTACGCGTAAATAAACGTGTGCGTAAAAGTACGCTCAAGGCATCCAACCTTGGTGTGATGTGAATGGATTTTGTTGGCACATATATTTCAGCATGATATCAAATTGTGCATTATGTACTTCCTGAGAGAGTTCAAGTTCCCATCAATAAAGTTATTTTTCTATTATCATTCAAAGTTTTGAGACATTCTTGCTCTGGTTTTGGGAAATTTAAACTAAAAACTAAATGCAAAACTTCAGAAAGGAAACCCAGTGTGGAT